GGGGGGGGGGCGCACCCATGCTTGGCATGCCTCAGCGGTTAGACCATTGACCACAAGATGGCACCGGGGAGCCAAAAAAGGCAAAACGAGAACGGCACGTGCATTGATGTATTGCCGCACCGGGGCTGAGAGTTGGCACGTAGGCCCTTATTGTCTTACGGTGATCAGTTGTGTATTTCCGTACCGCGGTCGGAGAGAGATGGCACCGGGGTGCGGAACAAAAGCCAAGAAAAAACACGGCTCTGACCTGGTCTGTGGTGCCACCTCTCGCATCGTTACGGAACAGAGCAGCACATCGGTGGCGTGACTACATACAACACCAGTACAAGTTGCCCGGAGGTGGTCTCTAAAGCTTTGCGGATTTACCGGCGATAATCTGAGGGTGATCTCGTTTGCGAGGGCTTTGCGTCGGGTTGTCTGCAGCAGTACGTACGTGCCATGTACCGGAGACATTGCAAAACGGAAAGAGGTGCACGGGTTTCTTTCTTCCGCCGGTGTTGTTCCAATTTCGTTTCGTGGTTCGACTTGTACAACATGTCGCCCCGGTGGTCTAGGTGGTGACCTCAAAACCTTCTAGAGGTCAGGTCAGGGGTTCGAATCCTGGCGTAAGCGAGCTTTTCTTGCAAAGAAAGTGAGTTTTTCTCTCGCTTCCGCTCCTGGCCTAGTGGATAGCGCTAGTTCGTGTGATCGCTGAGGGAAGAGAGTGCTAAACTCTTGTCGCAATAACAATCGAAGGCAAAGTACCGCAGGAGGGGAGGGTAGAGAGGGGTTCTTCTGTGTGACCACGGGTTGAGTAAACGGCACTCTAGTGCTGTGAGCGCTGATTTGAAGTGCAGACAAAAAAAAAAAAATGGAACGAGGATAGCCCGCAGAGGGTTGGAAGCCGCCACCTTCTCGTGTTGGGGACAAACGTCAAAAAAAACCCATCAGAGTGCCGAGCGCTGATGGGACGTTTCGAGTATGCTCAGAAAGCTCGGAGCCCGTACGTTCCCTTCAATACCGCTGTGAAAGCAAACCCACAGGAGCAATCAAAGCCGCGCCCAATGGCAAACCAAATTTCTTCTTTTTCGTGAACATTTGAGACTTCCTGGGTCTTCTTACCAACGGAATACCAGCGGTGCATGGATACTGCTGTAGTCCCGAGTAGATATACGCTCTGCTGCTGTTGTGTGCTATGTCGCCCTTTCACGTTTAACCATGTAGACTATACACGCACTTCACTAACCCCAACTCTTTGCAGGAAAAGCCTCGCCACACCCAACTGACTTCAACTTGCCACACCTCCGTATCAGCATATCAAATATCGCACCAGCGTCCTTCGGGTCATGAAAACAGCAGGATCACCTTCTTCGCGCGGCCGCAGGCAGCAACCAACACCTCAGCCTGTAGCTGGCATTCCTGGGTCTTCCCGACCTGATCTCCGGTACAAAATACATCGACGCACAAGAATAATGTGCCGATATTCATGGTATCTGTGGAAAAGCACTCCGAGTGCACCATTTGTGCAGGGTACAAGAACACCATCCTCGTCCCCTGCGCGCCGCCTCCCTCCGCGTCATGTATGTGTCGATGCAAGATCACTAGACTAGTACACGCGCAGGAGGTATGTAGGCGTTTGCAACCGAATATCACCGTGTCCAGATGAACACCGTGTCCAGCACCAGAAGGTACATACACACTCGCTGCTGCATTGCCATCACCGCACAGGTCACGTTGCACAGCTATAGCCGCTCCTCGATTCCAGACGAGACGCGCGCGGGTGGTTTGCCGCTTATTTTTTTTATGTGGGACTGCTGTTGCGAAAGAAGATTCATTCGATGCAGTTGTTTCACCTGTCACAGCAGAAACAGACACCCGCCCCAAGAGGTCGCACCTGAGCCAGTGGCTGAAGAACAAAGGAAGCTTGTAGATGCCGTCGCGCCTTGTAACCCACGCCGATAACACCGAAACGGTGATCAGGGTGCAAAGCACTCGAACGAAAGCACTAGCCGCTTCTCCTTCCTGAAGACCTGCGACGATGAACCCGGTTTCGCACCTGAGCGTGTATGCATACGTGTCGTCGGCGGCTTGCTCCGCTGCTAGACTCGAACTGCCGTCATCCGCTTCAAGAGCTGCGGCAGATGAAGAAGTCGCCATGTCGAGCTCGGGCGAAGTTCTCTCTCTGTCGAGGTATTTGAAGGGGTCTCGGATGACAGGTGGTTGCGCGATCGACCTCGATGCAATAAATAGGACGAAAACACAACAGTACGCAAGAATTACGAAATAAAAATGTGAATCTTTTCGAAGGACGCCGAGGTCGTGCAATGTTCTGCGCCGAGGGACCCAGGACCCAACGACACACCATTTTCATCGGCATCATACCTTCATTATTCAACCGGATACAACTACACTGCTGTACCGGGACCACCATAGCAAAGAGATGTACAGCTATTGAAAATCCTTGTCCTTGGTCAGCAAAAGTAACGATTGTTTGTATGGACGTTGGAGTTATTTGCAAGAACTATCGTAGAAGTTACAGCGAGGCGGCAGATGAAGTACGAGTACCAGTCTTGAAGTGAAAGAGAACCACCCACCAAGTATATCGGTAGACTATATGCTTGTCATCAACAGACAAGTTTTCGCCTGACAATGGGCTTGACCTGCTTGGCAGTACTATTGTAGTTCAAGTTGAACGCCCTCCGACTGATAGGCACGAAAGAGCCTCCTCTGGCTTTCGGTTAGTAGTCTCGCCGATGTCATTTACGAACGATCTCGTCGTGCCCAAGACACACCGTTTATTACCTATCACACGAATTAGTGTTGATGTTCGGCAAGAAGATCGTAGAATTCTTCTTCTGACGACGGCATTGCCTCCTTATTGGCGGACAACAGCAGCAAGTGCGGATATTATTTTAGAAGGTATTGGACAGAGATCGGAGAACAGTGGAGACAACAAGAGAGGTGCTGGTTGTACGGTGTGCGGACCCTCCTGCGGTTCGGTTGCAGTTGGATCGATCGGCAAGCAAGCAAGAATAAGGACACCCCCGTCAGGGCTTGACAGTTTCGCGTGTGAGGGAGCAGGGCTTGCGCCCCTTACGGCCGTCCCGCCTTTCCACTATTCCCTTCACAGGCCGGCAACAACGCGCCCTGTCGAAAATGATGGTCTTCGGCTCTGGGTAGCTTCATCTGAAACAAGCGCACTTACTCGCGGCCTGTGCAGCACCACCAACGCAACGCCCAGTAACGAAACGTCAACAATATTTACATACTTCCAGAATCACACAATTAATTGGCGCGTACCGCTTCGTATCGTATCCGCGCTGCTTAAGGTTGCTCTGCATTTTTTCGTTCTGTTGTCTACAAAGTCGACGGGAGGGTTGTTGTGTGAACCTCTAGTCTACGGCGCACACGGCTTTTTCGCAACACGAACACGTTGTGTCTGCCGCACCGCCACATCCACCAGAACAAAAAAACGCTTGGGTTCCAATGCAACCAAACTCGTGACACGCATAGGCTAATCGATATCCCGTTGTGCCCATCATCAGCGAATGGATGCCCGCACGGCCACATCAAGTCAAAAACTTCTACACGAAGTGCTTGGCGCCGGTGGTTAGTTGTACTCCTTGACGACGCTTCCTGCGATAACCATGTGCTGGATTTCGGAGGTCCCTTCGTAGATTTCGGTGATGCGGGCGTCTCGGTAGTGGCGCTCGGCGGGCATCTCTGACACGTACCCTGGCAGCAGACAAACAATCGGGCAAGGGCGAAAACACGGGACGGGTCGGGTCCACAAGAAACAACGAAATGAATCATGTTTGCGAAAGAACCGCGGTCTTCCCACGAGGTGAGCTTGCATGAAAACGACACTTGCACAGGAAAATGGCACAATCGCCAAGCCCTGTACTCAAACTCGCCAAGCTCTGTACAGTTGGCGCCCGCAGTTAAGAAACGCTTATTTCAGGTCCAGCCTCGAGTTCTCATTGTGGGCTATAAACTCAGAGTATGTCGTTCAGTTTCTTATTTCAAGTTTCTTATTTTTTCGTGCAGCNCAAGTTTCTTGTCTTTTCGTGCAGCCAAGTCCTGCTGAATTTCTCAAATCGGCAATTTCTTATTATTTCTCTGCTTGCATACTACACAACGTATACAAATGATTTGCACTGCTTTCCTCGACCCCCGTACTCAACCCCGATTCTCACTACCGACGGCTGCACGTAAGGCCACCACTCCCTAGAAGCGAAATATATCCAGCGGCAACGTCTCGCTATCGCTCCAAGGTCCTGTACCCCCCTCATGAGTGAGGGCTGAAACTAAACAAATGGATAAACACCGCATGATGCCTCACCCGCACGCCGACGTGCCAACAACGAAAACTACCCCGTCATTATGTTGCAAGCTCCGTGAGGCGAACATTGGGGGTTGTCACCCTTTTGCGCCTCCCGCTCCCTTCCTTTGGGTCTACCTCTACGAGAACCCACGCCCCAATTGCAGCGTCTTCATCCGTGCTGTACGACTCCAACGGCAACTTCATGCTACGCGTGCTTTCGTCACTTGGCAACGACGTTGTAAAACAAGCCAATTCACTTCGTGAACTCGGCAACCAGGTTACCGTTTTTTTTTTT